AGAGAATCCTGATCATTCTCTTCTCTTTTGTAATCGGAAATCCAATTGTAATTGAGAGTTGAGAGAGTTATAAACATTCTTTTTCTAAACAAGTTAGAAAGAATAAAAATCAAATACAGTTCTTTCATTATTTTCTTAATTTGCAAATTTTCCACCAAACAATGAGTGTATCCCCTCTGTTACTCCTTGTATATACCGCCTGCTCCTGAGTGCATCTTGCAAATCCGATGCCCTTCATGCACTTGTCAAGGCGCGTGTTCCATGCCCGAGGTGCTTGGCGTAGACCGTAGAGTGCCTTTGAAAGCTTGTAGACCTTGTGCTCTTGATTCTTCACAACGAACCCTTCAGGTTGAGCCACATACACTTCTTCCTGGAGATCACCATTTAGGAATGCAGACTTCACATCCAGATGGTGCACCTCCCACCCATTCTGTGCTGATATGGCGAGGATTATTCTGATGGTATCAAGCCTCGCCACAGGTGCAAACACCTCATCGAAGTCCACGCCTTGCTGCTGGACGTACCCTTTTGCTACAAGTCTTGCTTTGTGCTTGAGAATGTTGCCTTCATTGTCCTTCTTCAGCTTGTACACCCATTTGAGACCAATGGGTTTGGAACCCCACGGTAACTCCGTGAGTATCCAAGTCTTGTTCTTCTCGATGGCCTCCAATTCCTTCTCCATAGCTGTTCGCCATTCTTGATCTGATGCAGCCTCAATGTAGCTCGCGGGTTCTTCAGTGATCAAGAACAACTCCTCTGCAGGGAGATCAATCACCTCCGTCTCTGCATAGATGTCCGCAAGGGATCGATAGCGTACAGGAGTCATCACTGCAGCTTCAGGAGGTCCGGACAGCTCCAGTGCAGCGAGATCTGCTGCTACAGCAGCTGTTCCTAGACCAGCAACTGTCTGTGGGCTGGTTCGGCATGCAGCTGGCTGGTATCCGGCAGCTTGCTGCCTTGTTCGGACTGTCTGCAGTCCTGTTTTGCCTCTGGTTATCTCTGATGTAGCAGGGACTGCTGCTTCGGGTGCTGTTCTTGGGCCAGCTGGCTGTCCGGTCCGGCCAGCAGCAGTCCGTCCAAACTGGACTGCCGGAGATGTGCCGACTGCTGGCTGCTTGTTTCGGCCAGCGGGTTGTCCAAGGGCTGGCTGAATGGTTCGGTCTGCCTGCTGTCCAATTTGGACTGCTGGAAATGCGACGGCTGTTGTGCCGGTTGCTGCAGTCTCCCCTTCCGCTGTGAACACCACCCAGTTGGGTGATCTTTCGACTCCATCGGCGCTCCATTCCCACTCTTTTCCTTCCTTGAACGCGACGTCTCTGCTGACATGAATTCTGCCGTGTTGAGGGTCGTAAAGGCGATGCGCTTTGCTTCCTTCTTCTACCCCAATATACACCATTGACGTGCTCCGGTCGTCGAGTTTCTTGTGTGAAGGACCTGCAATTTTCACATGCACCACACAACCGAAAACTCTCAAGTGTTCTAGGTGGGGTTTCTTACCAAACCAAGCTTCGTAGGGTGTGTGGTCATGCAATGCCTTGGTTGGTAGTCGGTTGAGTATGTACACCACGTGTCTAACCGCTTCGCCCCACATCGTTCCGGGCATATGCATGCTTTTACGTAAGCTTCTCGCCATGGCCATCACCGTGCGGTTTCGCCTCTCCACTACACCGTTTTGCTGCGGGGTGTACGGTGCAGTGAGATGACGCTTGATGTCGTAGTCTTCACAAAACTTGGTGAACTCCTTTGATAAAAACTCGCCACCACGATCCGTCCTTAATGTCTTCACCTTGTGGTCACATGCGTTCTCAACCTCTGTTTTGAACTTCTTGAAGGTTTCACAAGCTTGACTCTTGGCCTTCAACATGTATACCCACATCCATCGGCTGAAATCATCAACGATAAGAAGGAAGTAGTTATTCCCAGCAAGTGTAGATGGGGTGATAGGACCACATAGATCAGCATGTAGTAACTCCAGCGGCTTCTGAGCTCTGAAATTTGCTTGCGAAGGGAACGACAGTCTTGCTTGTTTGGCGACAAGGCATCCTTCGCATAGTTGATTCGGGTGCAAGATCTTCGGCAATCCGGAAGCCATCCTCTTATCAGTCATCATCTTGAGGGCGAAGAAATTGACATGCCCAAGGCGAGCATGCCATAACCAAGCTGGATCGTTAATGTTCGCCATCAAACACGCCGGCTTGCAAGTCTTTAACTCTATCCTGTACAATCGGTTAGTTGAACGTGTCACCCTCATCAAGAGAGCACCGTTCCTATCAAACACCCTCAGGAACTCGTCAGCAATAACAACCTTACTCCCATCTTCAGTCATTTGACCAAGGCTAATAATGTTAGATTTCAAACTTGGAATATAATATACCTCAGGTAGTAGCCTTTGATCGCCGTTGTTGCACTGAAAGAGGATAGAGCCTTTCCCCTTGATCTCTACCGCTGATCCATCACCAAACTTGACGGTTCCCTTGATGTTCTCGTCGATCTCCTTGAACTTGTCTCGGTGGCCGGTCATGTGATTGCTAGCTCCGTTGTCAAGGTACCAAGTGTTGTTGTCAACATGTGCCTCCCCCGCTGTAAGTAAATCCGGCATCACCTTCTCCTCATTAAGCAAAATGACACTTGACGATTCCTCTAACATAGCCATCATCAAGGTTGGCTCCTCGTCATATGCACGGGTGAGATGAGCCTCCTGTTCATGGTTGCGGCGTTGCTTGTGACACTCCGACTGAAAGTGCCCGTATACTCCGCAATTGAAGCATTTAATGTTGGACTTGTCTCGACCACCGCTTGTGCTACTCTCCCCCTCCTGGCGAGCTGCACCTCCATGGCCGAAACCACCTCCTGGACGTCCTCCTCTGCCGCCGAAGCCGCCTCGGCCTGCCTGGCCGCCGTGCTCCCCTCCGCGGCCTGCCTGGGTAGCGTGGTGCTGCTGCCCGCTGCCGTGGTGCTGCTGGCCGCCTCGGCCTCTTTGGCCACGGCCACGCCCGCGACCGGCTCCTCGACCGCGACCTCGTCCGCTACCATCATTGGTTGTAGGTGTTGAGAGGAAGCCTCCGCCGTTCTTCTTGCTCCTTGCTTGCCACTCCGCATGCGTCAACAATAGGTGATCGTCGACGTTGTTTCGAAAAACACGTGCCCTCTCCTCGTGGGCTTTGAGACGCCCGATCGCCTCCTCGAGTGTCATGTCGTCGATGTCCCCGAACTGTTCAATCGTGGAGACGATAGTAAGGAATCTCTCCGGTACCGCCCGAAGTAGCTTTCTGACGACGTAGTTCTCCTCCATCTCGCCGCCTAAAGCCCGGATCTTGTTGACGACTCCTGTCAACTTCGTCGAAAAATCGTCGACGTTGTCATTCTCCTTCATCCGGAGAAGTTCGAACTCGGACTTCAAGGTCTGCACCTTCGCGTTCCTCACACGATCCGCTCCTAGATGCATTGTTTTCAACGTCTCCCATGCCTCTTTTGCCGTTTGCTTCTCTGCAATCACCATCAAAGTCTCTTCAGGAATCCCCTGGTAGATGGCCGCCAACGCCATCTGATCCTTCCTGTGTTCCACGGACGCGCCTGCCGCGGGCTCAATGGCATCCCACACGTCTTGAGCCTTCATGTAGACTTTCATCTTGATTGCCCACGAAGCATAGTTATCCCTCGATAGCGTCGGGTATTGAAGAGTGAGCGAACCCACCTTGGTCGTCATCTTCTCCGAACTCGTCATCTCTTCAGATCTTGGTTGGTACTTAGGCATACACCGGCTCTGATACCACTTGTTGGCTTTTGAAATAGGATCGGCCTAAAGTATCAAACCTGCAGGAATTTCCAGCGGTCTCTGTTTTGTTGATGAACACAAAAATCTGTGAACAGAGAGATGGCCAGACTTTGAGAGGAACAAAACGGAGGAGCAGGAAACTTTTTTGATTCTTATTTTCGTTTTTTGTAAAACACAATGACAGTATAAAGAACCTTCTAGTTTTTGGGACAGGCCTACATGGAGTGTTGAAGATGACAATGATCCCTTGGTACTCATCTGTATAATTCCTTTGCGTGGCTAAGTTAGTGAAAATTGCTTGGTACAATAATGTCAGTAATGTTGAAGCATCAAGTAGTCCATACACAGAGTTGTATGATCAATAATGTAATTCATATAACTGCAGCTTTTTACACTGCATCTTAGCTTTGAATCTTCTCTTGATATTGTTTTTAATATTTTTGCAGGCTGGTAATCAAGGCCGTTTGCCTGTCTTGATCGTAAGCATGAAGGAAAGTGCTCCACGGAGACAGCCAACTATTGTATTTTTGCATAGTTCTTACAAGTGCAAGGAATGGTTACATCCATTACTTGAGGTGAAACAGACTTAGTAGTTCTATCCGCTTCTCGTATTTCTCATAGTAACATAGGAAAATATTTGCAGAAGGATTGTTTCTTGCTCAAGGAGTTTCTTTATACAGGCATATGCTTCAAGGGGATATATTACAGTGGCAATTGATTCTCGCTACCATGGAGAAAGAGCTAGCAACAGGACCACTTACCTAGATGTAAGCAAATGTTCCTTCTCTCTCACCCCTCAAAACAAGTCAGAAAGAATCCTAGTTCTCAGTTACACATGATATTCTCTTGAGTTGGATGCTTGTCGGAAGGAGGTTGAGATGCTTAAGCTGGAGATTGGTCATCTCAATAATAGAATCACAGAGGTAATGAACAAATGATGTTTCATCAAATCTCAATTCGTGTTAACCTTTGTTACAGAACTATATATATTAATGATTAGTATTGAGAATAAGGTAGCCATCAGATAAAGTTGTTATGCTTTGAAAAGTTGGTAAGTTATACATAATTGGTGACCACTTTAAATGCTGTTGTGGTCTAGAAAGTGCCAAAACTTCCTCATGCATGACTTTATATTACATACTGCTCTCGATGTGGAATTATTGATAATTGTTTGTTACAGTTCTCCTAATTAAAGAAAACAGATGGGACTGTTGTTTATATTTTGATTGTTGATTTTCTAATTACTTGTGCAGAGTGTTGAAGAGGCAGAATGTCGTAGGGCATATGATTCTGGTACTGAGGCATACACTTCATCTTTTGACCGCACGAAGCCAGCAGAGGAGGTACATACTGTTATATATACATATATCCTTATCTATAGTTCTTGTGTGTTGATCGAATCATCTCCAGCACTAACAACTTATATGCAGGCTGTTCTTAGAGAAGCACACGAAGTTGCGGTTCAAAATGCTCACTGAAGTCATTCACTGAAACTTTTGTGGCAAAGATGAAATCATATCCTTATCATTGATGCAGTTACATGTTTTTTTTTCTATTATTTATTTTCAATACCTTTTCTATTAGTTCCTAAACTTGTCTGGTACAGTCACTGGTAAAATTGTTGCCATGAAAAGTATAGCAGCATACAGAAGTGGCTTGGACATTAATACAAATGTCAGTAAGAAGGCTGACGAAGAAGGTTTGCTTGAAGATTTACATGGTACGTGCAAGAAAGGCTGTACGAGAGACCTGATTGGTGAATACATCGTATGATTATGTATTTATTGCTTTTTGAAGTATATGATGCTTATGTTGCAAATTTTATTTTCTACAGCTGGGAAGCATATGTAATGCACCAAAGTTAGTTTTTGTTGTTCTGTGTACTATGGTTAATTTCTTGTACGCCATGTTGGATTATCCAAAGACTAGTAATTTGTTTTTTTGTTACATTTGTGTTGACTATTCTTGTATGCTACAACTTGGTTATGTATTAGTTTGAACCTTTAAATGAAATATTTGCTTTTATGGTTGTCACAATTGGAAGTTATTTCTAGTTCAACCTTTAAAGGTTTATAGGCACAACTGAAATGCTATAAGAAGTAGAAACAATTGTTGAAATGCTATTAAAAGAAGAAAGACAACATTCGTTGAAACGCCATTGTAGTAACTCAAACGCTATCAAATGTAAGACAATAGCAGCGTTGAAATGTTATGAATGAAAACTAACTAATAGCGTTTTTCAACCGTTATGAAAGATATTTGTCATAGCAATATAGAAACACTATTGAATACTCTTTTATAGCTACATAAAAATGCTATGCATGGTTGGAAACTAACTAATAGCGTTTTTATGTAGCTATAAAAGATATTTGTCATAGTAATATAGAAACGCTATTGAATACTCTTTTATAGCTACATAAAAACGCTATGGTTGGAAACATTTTGATAGCGTTTGGGGAAACGCTATGTAAAGCCACAGACCTACTATAGCGGGTTCTGACACAGCGTTGATTAAAACGCTATGAAATAATACCATAGCGTTTTTCGGCCGCTATGGTAGATTTCAGGTGTTGTAGTGCTTGGTCGTCATCTTCTCCGAACTCGTCATCTCTTCGGATCTTGGTTGGTACTTAGGCATACACCGCTCTGATACCACTTGTTGGCTTTGTAATAGGATCGGCCCAAGTATCAAGCCTGTAAGCTTTTATACAAATCTGAAAACAGGGTTAGAAGAACCTGTAACCAAAGCTTCCTTCACTGATTTTGGAGAAACCGAACACCAAAACACACGGGACTTTACTGCAGGAATTTTTTAGTCTCTGTTTCGCTGACGAATAAAAAACACAGATGAAGACAGAGGAGCAGAAAACTTTCGGTGAAGGAGTTCCCAGTTTTTTTTCTTCTATTCATGAAGAATATTTACACATATATATAGATAAGATTACAACTTGAATTCTTATCCAATAACTAGAAAAACTATCTACTAACTAGTATTCTACCATAATTAGAACTCTATCTAATAACTTGGATTCAAACTACCAATCCGGACTGATTAACAAACTCACAGAAAAAACATAATCAGCTTCTTCCGCCTCTTCTCCTCTGCGGCGTCTTCCTTCACCGTCACCATCTCTCCCGTTTCGATCAGCAGCATCTCCAAGGGCGACATAGCTGGACGTAAACTGCTTGCTTAATTTAAGTGAAATTAGAACAGTGCGCATATTACGTAGTTCCTGATCGGGAAAATTTACAAAATAGACCGTTTTTATAAAGTAATTAGCAAAATAGACCGTTTTTAAAAGTAATTAGCAAAATAGACCGTTTTTTGGCAAAAGAGGTCGATTTTAAAAAAGGGTTCAGAAAACATACGGGACTACTAGTCCCGTATGTTTAATCTCACTCAGAAAATATACGGGACTACTAGTCCCGTATATTTTCTGTTTGTTAACAAAACATACGGGACTAGTAGTCCCGTATGTTTTCTGAACCCTTTTTCAAAATCGACCTCTTTTGCCAAAAAACGGTCTATTTTGCTAATTACTTTAAAAAACGGTCTATTTCGCTAATTACTTTATAAAAACGGTCTATTTTGTAAATTTTTCCTTCCTGATCCTGTGACATGACGTAAGTAAGTAAACAAAAGTAGGGTTCGGAAGCAGTGCAAAAGACTGACATACTTTGGATGAAATTCTTTACAAATTCTACTTCTTTACCGATCCTACAGTACGGTAGTTACAATAAATAGGAAGGGGGAGAAAACCTAAAATCCCCCGTCTTCATTAATTCTGACAGGAAAAGGAGCTAGCTTGTACATATATGCACACGCTCATCTTTGCTGCTGCATGCTTTGAGGTGTTGTTTTGTTTCTAAACTCATCAACACAGAAACCCAGACTCTAAAACAATTCGTAACAATTCCTTTTTTTCTTTTTTTGGGGGGTTATAGACAGTAGTCATTTGTTCTCGATCCCTAGCTCGTCTAAATCTCAACTTGAGGTGGAGTTTAATTGCACCTCGCTCATAAAAGAAGAAGCACCATCCTCCTCAACCCCCTTTAATTCCTCAATCTTGTCCAGTGCATCCTTGATGTCCCACCTCTTGTCGAGGTTGGGCTCACAGCAACCTAGTCCTATCTGCAACAACTTAGACATCTGCCCCTCTCCGTTCTTGCCCCTTTTCATCTCGCCATCAAACGCCTCTTCTTTGACGACTGAATCCACCCACCCAGCCAAATCGGTGCCCCCCTTGCCCTTCTGCAGGTAGGTAGCCGGAAACTGGCCCGTCAACACCTCTAGTATCAAAATCCCAAGGCTCCACACGTCGCTCTTCCTCGACGGTTTGCCCGTTTCAGTCACCTCCGGGGACTTGTAGGCCACCAGGATTTGTGAAGCGTGGGTCTGGTTGACCAAGGGAACGAGGGCGTAGTCCATTAGGGAGGGCTCGTAGTTGTCGTCGATGAGGACGTTGGAGGACTTGAGGTGACCGTGAGGCAGGGTCAGCATAGGCAACGCTTCGTACAGGTAGGCCAGCCCCCTAGCTACTCCTTTTACTATCTTCAAACGGG